TACAGGATCTCAGTGTGTAGATCGGACTCATAGTGATTCTCCTGTTTCCAGCCTCCCAAGTGCTGGGATTCCAAGCGCACGCTGCCACACCCAGTCTCAGTCACCATCTTCAGTGTGCCCCAGCATGGCAGGCCTGGCCATTGTCTTTTTCTTATTTTTATGTGATGTTGGTTTGTTTGGTCTTTTCAGTACACCCTTCTGTCTGTGTGTGATGTGTAAGATTATGTTACCTTGCTGCATGAGCTCTTGTTCTCTTTCCTCACTTTATTTGACGTTTCTCTTTTCTGTCTTCCTGGTGTGCCTATCCTCGTCAGCATGGGTCCTGTTCCTGCAGGTTCTGCTCAGCACTGTGTTGTCTCTTAAGAGTGTGGATTAGCTCTGCAAGTCTGTGGTACCCTAGAGGCATGTTCTGTGTTGACCCACCAGTGTGTGCTTGTGCCCATTTACACATCCTTCTCAGCTGTGCTCCTGGTATGGAGGGCCCTTGCTGGGTGTTGCAGGGTTTTTCTGCTCTGTGGTCTGGCAGATTCCCCTTAGCATCCTCTGCTGCTTGTCACATAGATGCTGATACCATACAGGGCCTATTTTGTTGTGTTTGGGGATTCTTTGCATGGAGTTTTGATGTTGCTGCTTATTTGTTCTGACTTTATGAAGGAATATGGAGAGCTTAAAGTGCTGTCACAGAATTCACATAGCATTTTTCAAGTTTAAATACTGTGAACATCATGCTAGCTTCCATTGCAACTGTATTAAATTTGAACTAGTAGCTGAAAGTTGGCTGCATGTGTTACATTTCTCTTACTCATAGCTAACAGATTTCCTTCTGTATCATCTACAGCTAGATTGGTGTAAAAACTAAATTTCCTTTATCTTCAATGGCTTCTGAAATTGATTAGCTAGAGAAAATGTGTGGTAGGAAGAAATTGATGTGAATAATAAATACCTGGGGGCTGGGAAGATAGCTTAGTGGTCTAAGCACCTGCCTGGCAAGCACAAGGACCCAAGTTTGATATCCAGTACCACATGCCCTGCTGGCCCTGCCCCAGGCCCACCATGCCAGCCACCAAAACCAGGAGTGGTGGCATATGCCTCTAATCCCAGCACTGGGGAGGCTGAAACAGGAGGATCATTACAGGTCCCAGCTTCATAGCAAGACCTTGTACCAAATACATAAATTTAAAAATATAAATAAATAAATACCTGTATGTTTGCAAACTTGTCAGCAGCATTGTTGAAATTTTAAAAAATGTTTAAAATAGCTGTTTTGAGATGTAATTCATACCATGAATTACATAATTCTTGCTTCATTTTTAAGCACCAGGAATTGGACCAGGCCTTCCATGCACCTGCCAGCCATGTACTGTGCCACTGAGCTGCCCCTCCAGCCTGGGTTCTCTGATTTGAAGTGTACTCTCAGTGGGATTTGAGTACATTCATAGACCCATGCAGCAATCCTGACAGTTTATAGCAGCTCCAGTCTATCCTGCCTCTCTTTTCCCTAGTTACAGAGAGGGCTTTGACCTGGACCCCAGCTTTTGGCAACAGCTAATCTGCTAACTAGACTTATTTACCCTGCATTCTGGACCAGTTCTGTTTATTTGACCATGTTTCACATGAACAGAATCTTGTACATGTGGTCCTTTGTGAACGGCTTTTTTACTTGGCATAATGTTGCCAAAGCTCATCCATGTTTAACATATATAAGTTTGGGGTTTTTTTATTGTTTTATTTTTTGTTATTTTGAGACCAAAATGATGTATTGCAGGCTGGCATTGAAATTGCTTGTGTACTCCAGGCTGGCTTCAAACTCATAGCGATCCTCCTGCCTCAGCCTCCTGAATGCTGGAATTACTTGAATGTATTTTTTTTTAAATTTTATTTGTGTGTGTGTGTGTGTGTGTGTGTGTGTGTGTGTGTGTGGCCAGTTCAGCCCACCAGGGGGCGGGGCTGGCTGGGTGCTGGGGGATTGAACTGGTGTCCCTGTGCTTTGCTAAGCTTGTTCTAAGTAGGTGCTTTAGACCACTGAGCCATCTCACCAGCCCCACTGAATGTATTTTTAAATTAAAGTTGTCTTGTTTTATTTTTCAGTAATATTCTGTGGTTTGGATAATTCACATTTTACTTACCTATTAATTAGTTAATGGATGTTCATTTTCTTCTCTGTCTTGATGAATAATGTGGTCCTTAATGTTCATGAATCAGCTTTTGGATGTTCACTTGTCTTGTACTGACCTTGGAATGAGCTTGCTGGTCACGTGGTAACTATGTCAAATCTTTTAAGTAACTGTGTAATAATTTTCCAAAACAGAGCACCATTTCTTATTTCCAGAGGCAGTATGTCAGGGCACAGTTTCTGTGTGCTTGCCAGCTCTTACTGACTTTTTGACTATAGCCACAGTGCTGCTGGGTATGAGGTGGTATCTTGTACTTTTGATTTTCATTTCAGATATTTAGTGGCTATTTCATGTGCTTGTTGGCTCTTTATCCTTCTCTGAGAATGTTTGTTTAGCTTCTTTGCCCGTGTTTGTTCATGTTGTTTTGATTTTTCTTTTTCAGATAGGAAAGGGAAGGGAGAGTGTATTACTGTGGTACCTAAGCTGACCTGGGCTTGAATGATCCTTCTGCTTTAGTTTAGCCTCCTGAGTAGCTGGGATATGGTGTGGTTGGCTCTTTGTCCATGTTTTAAAGTTAGATTTTTGTTCTTTTTGTTACTAAATTATGAGAGTGGTTATGTACCAGATATATATCATTATTATATATCATTCTGTGGATTGTATTTTCAGTCTATAACCAGTAGCTGTTATTAGGACCACACTTTAACCCTAACCAACTGAGTTAACCGGCCACCACCAGTAGTTTTTAAAGTGCAGAAGTTTTAACTTTCAAATCAACTTCCTCTGCTTTTTCTTTGTACTTTTGTTGTCTTGTTTAAGAACGTTTTTGTTACACCAAGGTCAGTAAGATTTACTCTTGTCTTTTCATTTTAGAGTTTTATACTTTTAACTCTTTGTGTCTGTGAGTGATTTATTTTGAGTTAATTCTTAAATATGGCTATGAATTCTTTTGCACGTCACTGTTTAGTTGATGTACAAGTTCTGAGATACAATATTTTCATTTTTGTCTTTCTTTCCCCAACTGTTTCTTTCTTTCCCCTTTCCCTCACTCCTTTCTTTTTCTTTCTTTTCTTTTTTCTCTCTTTCTTTCACTGCCTTCAACTCACTATGTAGCCCAAGATGGCCTCTGCCTTGGCTTTCTTAGTGCTAAGATTATAGGCATGCACCATCATGCTTGGCCATTTTTTTTTTTTTTTCAATTCTAAGATTTTTTGAAACATGAGTTGTCTAGATTACTGTTTCTCCTTTTTAACCCACTTGTGTTTTTAGTTTCTTTCTTTTTTTAAAAATCTTTTATTTATTAATTGATTTTGTACAGGGTCTTACTATACAGCTCAGACTCCTAGTGATCCTCCTTTCTCAGCCTCCCCAGTGCTGGGCATATAGGTGTCTGCCACCACAACCAGCTTTGGTAGCCAGCTGGGCAAGGGACTGGCATGACAAGGGGATCAAATTTGGGTCCTTGAGCTTGCCAGGCAGGTGCTCAGATTGCTGAGCTATTTCCCCAGCCATTTAGTTTCATTTTTATAATCTATTTCTCACTTAAAAATACTGGGCTCATAGAATGTGATGCTATAAGTTCAGTGAGGGTTAAAAAGGGTAATTTCATGACCCATGTGGTCCTTTTTCATCTCTCTCTCTTTTTTTTCTTTTGCCAAACTGGGAGTTGAGCTCAGGTCCTTGTACTTGCCAGGCAAACGCTTATTTTACTGAGTCATCTTCCCGGCCCTTTTTCATCTGTTATGTGCTGTGAAAGATGAATACTCACCAGTTGGATGTAATGTTACATCTCTTAGATCAGGCTTGATAAGTTATCCTTAACCATTACTTTTAAATCTCTTACATTGCTAATTACAGTGTGTTAAAAACTCCCAAAGCCAGGCATAGTGTGCAAGCCTGTTGTGTGATCTGCAGAGAAGGCTGAGGCAGGAGGAGTGCTCAGATCCAGGAGCTTAACCTGATGAGACCTCATGCCAAAACCAGAAACAGAATAAACAAATAGTACCAAGATAGTGAACTTTTCCTTTTGTTTTCCCCTTGTAGTTGTTAACTGTATGTTTTAATTCTTAATATCAAAAGTTTCAAGCAGTATGAAGGAAAGAGAACAGCATACTCCCTTGCCTGCGCCTGTGAATGCCATGCATATGTATGGCCAGCTTTATGTCCTGCTCTCCCTCTGCTCCTGGCTGTTGTGGAGGGAGCAGCCCCTCACGCCCGCACACCCTGCAGCCTGGTGGTAGCACTGGCCCCATGTCCATCCAAAGTGTGTGTGTTGTCACGTCCTCTGGGCCCGTCTTCCACTGAACACTTGGAAAAAACTTGAAAATGCTTTAATCGTGGGTACTTTCTGGAAAGTTCTTACAGGAGGCAGCTTGATCGTTACTTGTTTCTGATATTTTCAAAATCATGTTTCAGTGTCTTCTGGCTCTGGCTGTTGCTATGAGAAGGAAGACGTTCTCATTTGTGTTTCTTGTGGGTAGTCTCTCTGGTTTAAAGACTATCTCGTGCAGTTTTGCTATGATACAACCACTAAAAGTATGTCATAAGTCATTGGATGATAGTCACTTTGAGCATTTTGAGGGTTTTTTGGTTGTTTCGGTTTAGTTTTTGATTTTTTGAGACAAGGTCTCGCTTGTAGTTCAGGCTGGCTTTGAACTCACTGCAATCCTATTGCCTCAGCTTCCCAGTGCTGGGGTTACAGATGTGTACCACCATGCCTTGTTTTGGAGTTAAACTCTGTACTTTTTACTCCAAAATGGTGATTAGTATTCTCTAAACAGCTGAATACCTAAGTGAGTGCTTGCTATGCATGAAGAACCCATAGTAGGCCAGGATCTTACCTATGTCTGTTGATGTGGAGAAACATGGTATCTTCTCTTTCTGTAGCACTGTTGGAAGTGATTATGAAGAACGGAAGCACTGCTGGAAGCAGCCCGCACTGCCGGAAGCCTGCGGGGGGCGGAGAGCAGAGCAAGACCAGCTGTACAAAGGATAGCTCTGCTGGGGGCACAGAGAGTGGGAAGGCCTACACCCGAGACCAGGTGGAGGGCGTTCTCAGGTAGGATCTCCGTCCACACGTCCACATGGCTTCTGGGGGAATTTTGGATGTTACAGTGTTGGAAAATGTAGTTATACTAAGACAGATATGAAGGAATTAACTCTGAATATTTAAAAAAACATTTGATTTCCAGAACTGGGGATTGAATCGGGGGCCCTTTGCACCAAGCTGTATCCCCAGCTCTGGTTTTTTAAATTTTGAGACAGGGTCTGAGTTGCTTAGTTGCCTGGATTACATTCAAACTTGACCTCTCCAGAGTGCTGGGGATACAGGTGTGCAGCACCATGCCAGGATTGTGTCCTTGCTAGGTCTTTGTGTTAGCATGGGGGGGGGGGGGTATGTGCACTTGAGTGTTGCTGTGTGTTTTTGCAGCACCCAGAAGTCCTGGCTTTTGGTGGGGACTTGCCCCGGATAGAGTGAAGGGCAGCAGTGGTGTAGGGGCTTCCTGGGCACAGAACACGGGGGTTGTGTGTACAGCCCTGCCTTCCCATGGGCTGGAGCTGAGCTTGTCTTCTGAGGAGTGGCTGAGGGTTGAAGCTGCCTGCAGTGTGGCAGAGCACAGGAATGGGAAGGCTGCTGAGTTAGCTTGAGGGCCCAGTCACAGTGGGAATCACAGGGTTATTGTGGCTGGAGGAACTTAGTGAAGAGCCTGCAGAGCTGCTGCAGCCATGCACAGGGTTCAGCCTGGTGCCAAGGGGTGGCCAAGAGGAAGCAGCATCCAGGAGGCTGCTCCAGGCGTGAGACCAGCAAGTGCATGGAACAATTACTAAGGTCAGAGAAGAGATCAGAAGGCTGGCAAGATAGCTCAGTGGTCTAAAGTGCCTGCTTAGACAAGCTTAGGCAGGTGCAAGGGACCTCAGTTTGATCCCAGGCACCATATGCCTCACCAGCCCCGCCCTCAGGCTGGGCTGAGCTGGTCAAAAAAAAAAAAGAAAGACTCCAACTTTGTTACTTGATAAGATTTAGGGTGAGATTACAAAGGACACAAATAAATGGCTGGATGATTTTATGAAGAAAGCACAGAATCTCAGTGATCATTTTAATAAAGAATTGGAGATTGTGAAAAAGAAACAGGCAGAAATTCTGAAAATGAAAAACCCTGCTGCACTCTGGGAGGTTGAAGCAGGAGGATTCCTGGTACAAGCCCAGCCTGGGCAACTTAGTCAGACCCTGTGTCAAAAAAAGAAAAATGAAAAACTGAAAAATGTTGGGAGTGGGTGTGAGAAGTTATAAAAGTAGGCTGTCAGGATTTGTGGACAGGGTTAATGCAGTAGACCCTTTACTCAGTGATACTCAGAACAGTAAGAGGCAGCTAGAAAGAACCAAGGATTAGGGTTAGGAAGAGATAATCTAGTAGCATAAAAATTTACTCCTTGAAATCATTGCAGAAACATTTCCAAATCTAGGCAATGAAATGGATACCCAGGTAAATAAGGCATTTGGAATCTCAAGACAGGAGCAGAAGGCAGTTTCCCAGGACACATTGTAGTCAAATGACAGAAATTCAGACCAAGGAGAAAGTTGAATGTTATTACAGAAAAACACTAAATAATGTATAAAGATAAATCTATCAGTGTAACAGAATTCTTAGCACACACTTTGAGGGCCCAGAAAGTTTAAAGTTTTTCAAACCCTAAAAGAAAAAAATTGCTACCCCAGATTACTATATCCTGTGGCATTATTTTTCAAAGTTCACAGAAATACTTTCCACAGCAAAGAAAAGCTAAAGCAATTTATGACCACCAAACCAGCATTGCAGAAATTACTCAGAGAATCCTAAACAGTCAACAAGACCAACATTACTCAAGAGCCCAAAGGGAAGACTATATCTAACTGAGGAAGTAGTAAAACTAAAGGAATCAGGGCTCAGAACGTAATATAGGGACAGATACTACTACTAACTACTTTTCAGTAGCCAGGCCCAAAGTAAATGATCTTAACTCCCCATTCAAAAGATACAGACTGGTAGACTGGGTCAGAAAAGAGAACCCAACTACATTCTGCCTGCAAGAGACACGTCTCATCACAGAGTCTGAAAGCGAAAGCAAAGAAAGCACTACTGCAGGCAGCTGGGTCCTGCAAGCGAGCTGTTCTAATTTGTGACAAAGCTGACTTCAAATCAGAATGAATCAGAAGAGACAAAGAAGGTTACTATATACTGATAAAGGGAACAGTAATAATTATACATAGATATGCACTGAATGTGAATAGGCCCAGTTTCACAAAGTAGAAATTACAGGGGCCGGGGAGATGGCTCAGTAGGATAAGTGCTTGACCAGCAAACGCAAGGATCTGAGTTCAATCCCCGGTTCTAAAAAAAAAAAAAAAAAGTAGAAATTACAGATGGACACCAATGCATAGTGTGTATGTGTGTGTGGGAGATTTTAATAGTCTATTGTCACAAACTGACTGTTGAACCAGACCAAAAAAACCCCAAAACAACAACAACAAAAAAAGCCCAAAACAAAATCAAAGAAGTATCAAAGTTAAACCACATCATGGAACAGACAGATTTAACAGATTTCTTCAAAGTGTTTCCTTCTGTAACAGCAGAATACATACTCTTTTTGGTAGCCCATGAAACTTTCTCTTAAATAGATTATATTTTAGGTCATAAAGCTTGTCTGCATAATTACAAAAAAATTAAAATAATCTCTTGCATCCTATTAGATCATAATGGAATGAAAGTAGTAATCAATAGCAAAAGAAGCCAGAAACTACACAAACAAGGAAACTGAATAATATTCTTCATGATTTACCCACATATTTGCTTTTTTTATTTGATTGTTTGTTTGAAGTCAGAGTCTTACTTTGTAGTGTCAGCTGGCCTTAAATTCACTTAGGTATCCCAGGCTGGCCTTGAACTCGTGGCAGTCCTGCGTCAGCATCCTGAGTGCTGGCATGAGCACTTAGGCAGTACCAGCTTTTTGAATGTTGCTCCTCACTTAACCTCTAGTTTTATCTATTTTCTTCTAGATGATAGAATTTTGTTTCTGGTTGCTGAACAGTCCTCCATTGTGTATGTGAGTGACTTGATGATATGCTGAGGTTCTTTCTGGTCTGTTTGGGGTTCCAGGTGCCTTTTGAACCAAGATATCTATTGTTTGTCTTTCCAAAATTTTTGCAAAGATTTTGGTAATTCTAAGTTTCATCATTTAACTGTATTTCATAATTTCATTTCTTTCTTTTTTCCTTTTTTTTTTTTTTCCAGACTCATAGGGATCCTCCTGTCTCAGTCTCCCCAGCCCTGGGATTACAGGCATGAATAACCACACCTGATTTCAGGGCTGACATGGCATGTGGTACCAGGGATTGGACCTGGGTCCTTGTGCTTGCCAGGCAGGCGCTTAGACCAAGACCACTGAGGTATCTCCCTAGCCCTGTTCATAATTTCTTAAAAAATAATTTTATCTGTAGAGAATGTGTGGGGTTTTGTTTAGTTTTTTTTTTTTTTTTTCCCAGTAAGGACTGGTGAAATATCAGATCTTAGACTAGAAAAAAATATTAGTGAGGAACCTGAATTAGAGATTGACTCCATGAGTCAGTAGTTTTAGTGCCTTTTTATTCAATATATATATTTTTCTTCTGGAGACTAATTATGATTGGAATATTGTTTTGAGAGGATCCCTCAGTCGTTTACAGTCCTCAAAGGTCTTCGGCTTCTCTGAGAGTAGCCTACCTAACTTGTAGAGTACTTTCTCCATTTGCCCTTGCAGGTAACGCCACAGTGCACGAGCAGACCAGCAGCAGACACTTTCTGCTCTGGGTTTTTGTTTTTTACCTATACACAAGGGGATTTTCCCAAGAAAGCATGTTAGCTTGTTGATTAGTTGCATTATGCAAACAAGCTGCAAGGTAAGTGTTTGGCTCAGTGGGAGAAGCCACGCAACAGAACCGCAGCCATTGCGTAAGTAGAGACCTGCTAGCAGGAAGCTGGAGAAAGTGTGTGACTTTGAAAACTGATATTCTGTGGCCCTGTGGTCTGTTTGTTGTCTTTGAGTTGAAATATATTAAAAAAACAGTTGAGGAAAGTGTTGTCATAGATCTTACTCGAAGAAGTTTCTAATATGTCCCTGAGAAGAGGCCATCTCATATTTTGAGAATACAAAGATGAGTGTGAAGTTGTTATCTGGGCCGTCACTATTTTTATCATCTTAGGAGCATGTCAGAGACCACTGGTAACTTGTCTGAATTGGGAGGATTTGAATTGAAGATCTGATGTAAGCTGCAGATCTTTTTGTTCCCCCCCAGACAAGGTCTCATGGGTTACCTTGCTTGACCAACTTGGCCTTGAAGTTGTTATCATCCTGTCCCAGCCTCCTGAGTAGCTGTGCTCCAGTTCTTTAAGTAGAAGGAAGATAAATCATGTTGCTAAATGTAATAATCCTTTGTCTCAGAACTATTTCCCTAAACATCAGTTAACTTTGTGGTCTGTTTAAATAATCAGCAATTGACCTTCCTCTTCTGCCCACTATGCTTTTTGTTTTGTGTTTTTGCGTCAAGGTCTTGCCATGTAACCCAGGCTGGCCTTGAATCCTTTTGCCTCAGGGCTACAGGCTTGTGCCACCATGCCCAAATACCACCAGAGCTAAGTTCCAGGTGTGTTATTTTGGCCTTGCTATATAATATGGCTTTCTGTAGTGGGTTTCCCCTGTCACCTGCTATTTTGTTATAAAGACAAGAGGTTGGTATAGATTGTTGGTGCTGCCCAAGCTTGAGGGGCTGTCTGTTGATGGCCTTCTTTCTGGCAGAGCCCCACAGCAACACAGGGTGTCACATGGCAAGAGACAGGCAGAGGAGAGTCCATATCTTCTTTTAAAAATTCCTCGGTAAGGTGACTCTTTGGAAGGAGCAGGCTGTGCAGTATGTGACAAGGAGTACATAGCTTAGGCTATGATAGTATGAGTGGCTGTGGATTGAGTTAGGGATGTGTGTGGTGATTTCTCCTTCAGATGTGGACTCTGGGTGAATGTATTTGAAGCATTACTTGAAATATGTAGTCTTTAGCTTGCCTATGAGGGATGATGACTTTTTGGATATCTGCTGGCTTTTAAGATTTTTTTTTTTTTCCCTCTAACATGTCATGAACAACTGTGAGCGGGGAAGATGTGGCAGAGCTGGAGCATCTGAGGCTTAGTGACGTGACTCCTCCTGTCTGGTCTTCTCTCTGGCATCCTGAACTAACCTAGAGCATTAAGGCTTCTGGTTTGCCTTCCTGCACTATCTAGTAACCCTCTCCTATGCCACTAGGCTTTTATGCTCAAGACATACCACTTTGAGAGGCTTAATCTGGAATAGTAACATCTGTACATTCAAGTGAAAGAGTAATGGCTTTAGGATTGTTCGGTGTTCAGCTCATCACTGCTTTTCTGCATTCAAATAATACCTGCTTTGTTCTCACATCCAGTGCTTGTCTCAGAGTCTGTATTTATTTCTTTTCTATTTCAAATTGATTTTGGTGTCCCTGCATCTTCATCATAGCATTCATCGCCTTGGGCCTGAACATTTCTTGCCGTGTCTCCCTTCAGGTTGAAACACCCTCCTTCCAACACACGTGGTAAAGAGCACACAGTCCTGCCTTCAGAAAGCCTCCAGGCCAGGAAAGTAATCAGACAAGTAAACTTGCTGTCCATAAGGGAGGAGGTTTACATTTAGAGGGCTTTGGAAATGTACAAGAGGGGCTTTGGGCTTGGGCAGAAAGAAGAGCTAAGCTGAAGCCTGAAGAAGTTTCAGGGGCTGGCCAGGTAGCTCAGCAGATTAAAGCACCTGCTTAGGCAGATGCAGGGACCAGGGTTCAATCCCCGGTATGCCAGGCCATCCCCACCCGTGGGGTGGGCGGAGATTGGGCGTGGTGGGGTGTGCCTGTAACCTCAGTGCTTGGGAGGCTGAAAACAGGAGGATCAGTATGAGTCCAGTCTGTGTAGTGAGACCCCCATACTAAAGACCCTGTACTTAAATACATTAAAAAAAAAAAAGTTGTAGCAGCCAGTTAGCAAACCAGGAGCATCAACACAGACCTCAGAGGGACTGGTCTGCATCAGTACTGGTTGCAGGAAAGGAGTGGAGAGGGGGACACCACTGCGGGCTGACAACTCCCTGTTGAGTTCTTTTTTTTTTTTTTTGCGGAACCGGGGATTGAACTCAGGCCCTTGCACTTGCCAGAGAAGTGCTTATTCCACTGAGCCATCTCCCCAGCCCCTCCTTGTTGAGTTCTGAGATATCAAGATGCTCCAATCAGATGAGTGGATGTTTGAACCGTTACTACTCTGAGGTTTCCTGATCACTGTGTTTAAAATAGCCCCTGTGTTCTTGGTTCTATTCTCTCTTGATTTTTTATTCACCATTGCAGCATCTGAAACAGTTCCTGGCAGAAGGACAGTGAGTAAGCTACTGTTGAAGAAATAAATTGTAACCCTCATTTATTATAGGTATTATAGGTCATGTGACTTTAGGCAGTTTATGTAAACATTCAGAGCCTTGATTTCCTAGTTGGTCAAATAGCAATAAAAGCTACTGAATGAGGAATAAACGAGTGCTTTGTATAAAATAATCAACAAGGAGCAGGGGAGATGGCTCAGTAGAATAAGAGCTTGCCTGGCAAGCACAAGAGTCTGAGTTCAATCCTCGGTTCTATCAAACAACAACAACAACAACAACAAACCAAAAACAACAACAAAAAATCAACATGATCAAATCTGCAATTCTTTATGTAAAATCTTTGTAACCAGATATAGTTTGGAATTTGGAAGTCTTTTTATCTTTAGAAAGTTGGAAAAAAGAAAAAAGAAAGTTGGTATTATTAGACACAATAGGCACTAATTTAGCAGGATCTGGGGCAGCAGACTGTAACCAAGTGGTAGGACTTTGGCAGCAAAATAAACTCACAAAAATGGGTTAAATGAAGACTGTGATAGCTTTATTTCCTTTTGGGCTAGATTTTACCTTTGAAAGACCAAGTTGGGTTTTAGAGTAACTTTCGTTGTTCAGAGCTTTGTGGGTGCTCAGCATGGTGTGGACATGTGGAGCTGGGCCTGAGGCAGTAAGTCAGGGCTCTGTCAGTGCTGCTGGCCCTTGGACTTAGTTGCCTTTTTCAGTCACCTTGTGTCCACTGAGCATCTCACTGAGAGAGGCTCAAAAGGTGAAGATTTCTGTTTTGTTTACTTGTCTGTTTCAGATGCGACAAGAGTACTAGGGCATAGTTGATACTCACTTTTTATGAGTAAATAAGTGGCATGTTGAACTAAAAATTGATGTGTTAACCTTTTTAAGTACCTAAAGTAGAGAAAAATTCAATTTTAATTATTACTAGTTTTGGCTGAGTGTGGTGGCACATACCTGTTATCCCAGAACTCTGACAGGCAAAGCAGGAGGATTACAAATTTAAGCCTAGCCTGGGCAACAGAGTGGGATCCTGTCTCAAAATTTAAAAATATAAAAATAAAAGGGTTTTGAATAAAGCTAGATAAAAGGCCCTAGATTCCATCCCCAGTCCTTGAAGGAAAAACAAATGAACAAACACAACTAATTTTTGAAAGATGATACAATGATTTTTTTTGTTGATGTGGTTATAAGAAAATTCTATATATTTCTAGTCTTATACAATATTTTCTCTTTTTTCTTCTAGTTCATATAACAAATAGTAAATGCTTCCATTATGAAAGGCAAACTAAGGCTCATTCACTTCCAAAATATTTCCTGAGCATCCACTGTGTACCAAGCACTTGGCTCCTAGGCTCAGTAGTTACAAAAAAAATTGTTGGGTCATTGCACTACGTGCTTGCTTGCTTTCTGTCTGTCTGTCTGTCTGTCTGTCTCTCTCTCTCTCTCTCTCTCTCTCTCTCTCTCTCTCTCTCTCTCGTATTTAGCACAGGGTCTATAGGGTCTCACTACACAGTTCAGACTTGAAGTGATTTGCCTGTTTTCAGCCTCCCAAGTGCTGGGATTATAGGCGCACACCACCACGCCCAGTCTCAGTCACTGTCTCAGTGTGCCCTGGGGGTGGGGCCAGCCTGGCACTCCAGGGATCTAACCCTGGTCCCTGTATCTGCCTAAGTAAGTGCTTTAAATCTGCTGAGCTATCTGGCTGGCCCCTCATTTCACCTGTTTCTACTCTTGTTGTCAGAGTGCCAAGCTGTGGTTCACTACTGAGGTCATAAGGTACAGTGCTGTAGACAGTGTCAAGACTGCGAGGAGTGAGCCTGGGGCCTCTCAGGGCTTTGTGTTCCTGCCACTCATGGACCCTGCACTATGGCTTCTGTGATGCCAGGGCACAAGGCTATGAAAGAAGTTGGCATTCTAAAGAACTGCTTGTTCTCTGCTTCATTTGAAGTGGTTTTCTGTTCCTATTATATTTTAAATCCTCCAGGCTTGAATCTTTTTCATCTTTAAAGTAAGTACAAATAGAGATTGGATTTAATAAACATCTTTGGGTTCTATGTTGTATTTTAATTATAAAGGACTTGGGAGTCTTTCAAAAAGAATGACTCAGATAAATACCCAGTCATGTAATGGTGCTAAGTTAATGGTGCTAAGTTAATTTTTCTTGACATGTAAACCATTGGGTATTGACCAGTATTTGATCCCCAGTCCTGCATGCTGTGCTGGCCCTGCCCTGGAGGCGTGCTGAGCTGGTGATTGAGTCCATGTGTGGTCGTGCATGCCTGTAATTCCAGCACTGGGGAGGCTGAAAACAGAGGATCACTGGGAGTCGGAGCTGTGTAGTGAGACCCTGCCTAATACATAAAATGAAAAAATAAATAAACCATTGGGTACTGTAATAGTGCTGCATACACTAAACTTGCTTTGATACTTAGTTGGATCAACATTATATAAGAATACACTCTTGAACTGTATCTTCATTCTTAGCTGTGACATGCTTTTGAGGAATTTTTGAAATTTTTAACCACTTAAGAGTTTTATAATACTGTTCTCATCCCCATATTAGTTACAGTGAATGTCCTGTCCTTCATCTGCATTTCCTGTGGGCTCTAGTTGTGATAAATTGCACAGGGGACCTTTTTTGTGGCTTACTCTCTTAGACAAGGAAAAGGCTGGAGGAGTGTCTGCAACCACACCTAGTGAAGCAAACTACTCTGAAGGGAGGACCAACATTAAATGTTGAGAAAACAATCCACAGATGGTTAATTATACTGTTCTGAAAAATTAAGATATGTTAAGTGCCATTGTTCTTTGAAATTTACACAACATACTTTCTGTTTACAGCATAAACAAATGTAAAAATTACTATGAAGTACTTGGAGTTACAAAAGACGCAGGTGATGAAGATTTGAAAAAAGCTTACAGAAAGCTTGCTTTGAAGTTCCATCCAGACAAAAACCTCGCGCCTGGAGCAACAGATGCATTTAAAAGTAAACTTAAAAATTAAACTCTTTAAAACTATTTTACTAATATCTTTTTAGAATTCATTTTGCAAGGGATTGAAATACTCAATTCTGCATTCAGACTGGTGCATTTAGAAACCAGCACAAGCAGGGGCCTGTGATGTGCTTTAAAATTTTAGTATTAGTATATTTCATCCAGACCCAGAGCAGTGCTTTGGTTTCATGAGAGCAGCTGCCAGCTCGATGGTCCTCAGTCTCTGTCCTAGGGACTCCTCCTGCATGCTGTATCCTGAGAACTGTGGGCTGATGATGTTGCAGGACTCCTAGTATGTTCCATCTGGTTCTAAGTCAGACTAAAGATAGAGATTTGCGAGATTTTTTTTTACTAGAGAATGTCTAGAATTGGAATGTCAGAACAGCATTCTGCCAGGGTTCTTATATTTATATTAAACCTGTCCACTTGCATTTTTCAGATGCATGTCTGACCAGTATGATGTTTTTGTCTTTTTAAAAGGTGGTTTCTTGGGCTGGCCAAATAGCTCAGCAGATTAAAGCACCTGCAAGCAGGCTCAGGGGCTGGGGTTCCATTCCTGGGCCTGCCAGCCAGTCCCACCCCTGGGGTGCGCTGAGAAGCAGTTGAGACTGGGTGTGGTGGCATGAGCCTATAATCCCAGCTCTTGGGAAGCTGTAAACAGGCCACTATTAGTCCGATCTAGTAGTGAGACCCTGAACACCCTGTAGACCCTTCCCTAAAGTACATAAAAAAAAAGTCGGTTTCTTTTCTCTTGCCTTATTCTCACTTTTTTCATTTTGCTTCTCAGTATTCTTTTAATCTTTCATCACTTAATAAATGTTGGAGAACTGACAATAACTTCATATTTTGTTACAATTTATTCATGAAATTTCTGGTTCAGAGCAGAATGCTTAGCTTTGTGATGGGTTGTTCCTGTGAATCAGGTGCTCATAACCGGCTGAGCAAAGCACTGGGGTCTTGGAGTAGAACAGGAATAGCACACTTACTTTTACATTGTTTCCTAAAGATAGAAGGTTCAATTGGTCCTGCATACAAATAATATTAAAATTGTTTACAAAATGCTTTTGTTCCTTGGAGGAAGTTGCTAAGCAGTATACATTTGGAGATTCCTATTATATTCCAGTAAAAACACTGCCAAAGCAGGTCTGGTGGATCAAGGTAAAATGCCACCTTTAACAGTGACATCCTTTTCAGTTCCTTAAATGAAAAGTCACTTGTTGAAATTATAAAAAAGCTACCTTATCAAAAAAACATGAACTTACAAATCACATTGCTGTTAGTTCATCTTTTTGAAGAACACGTTTAGAAAACAGGAGCATTATTTTCTTTCAGTACAATACTTCAGAATTAAAATTGATGCACATAATAGCACATACGTAAATTTCTAATTTACTGGTTGTGAGGTTGGGACATTCTGGCAAAATTTTTCAAATAGAATAAATATATTTAATTTGATTCATAATTTCTGTGAGGAATTTTAAACTTCAGTAAATATAAAATGTTCGTCATGTGTGCAGTCACAAAGTTGTTTGTCTTGGGGTAGTCCTCAGTGTATGCACATATACTGAATTTCTAAGAGGGGAGCAGCGTGTGTGTCTCCACAGGAAGCCAGCTGGGTGCTCAGTGGGGTCTCACAAAGGTGACTGTATGTGGGTATGGTGCATTTCAGAGATTCATGCTCTGCTTTGCAGAATGAAAAACAGCACTTCCCAACATGCTGGAAGGTGATTTACCTCTATGAGAGAGGCTCACATGCACAATACACAAGAGAGTGTCTGTAGAGCAGAATGCCTGTTTATTAGTCCCAAAGAGGACCAGAATTGGGAATTGGTTGATGAGCCCATTCTTCATTGAGTTGAAACTGAATAAAAAACCCAAGTTGTAATTGCAGATGCTTCATAAGCAAGTGTAGTTGGAAAACGTTGCAGTGAGTGTCATCACACAGAAATGACAGATCTCATTCTTGTGGCACCAAGCATTCTTTTTCATTACTTCCTGCATCGTTTTGTGTTTTACCAGTTTAACTTTTGTTTGTCTAAGCAGAGTTAATATTTTGGTTTTTTTTATACAAGAGGTGAAAAGTATAGATTGATTATAACTACTGTTACAACCACTTGCTTTTTATTTTCACCAAGGATACAAAAGGAGCCGGGGAGATGGCTCTGTTGGGGAGATGGCTCAGTGGAATAAGCGCTTCCTTGGCAAGCGCAAGGGCCTGAGTTCAATCCCCGGTTCCACCAAAAAAAAAAAGAGAGATGCAAAAGGAAGAGGTAATTGGTTTAAATTAGATAGATGTTTCATATGAGTGTTTACAGCTTTAAAAATAACAGATTATATCCAAGGACAGTGTACTAAATGTTACTGTTTCTTCTTTTGGGATTTTAAGTTTTCCAAAGCATAAAAATTATATCTACATATAGAGTAACTTCCACAATATATCTAAGCACATTTAAAAATATTCTAGTGGAATAGATCCCTTTCCTTCCTGTCAGCATGTGTGACACTGAGGTTCCAGGCTGGGACGCAGCTCAGGTGGAGATCTGGCCTTGCCTACATAGGGGGTAGGCCTGATCCAGTTCCACAAAAAACAGATGAAGAAGCAGTCAGACCAGCAGTTAAGTCCTCTTCACAGACACCCAAGTGTTGCAGAGTGAGTGGTACCGTGCCTGCGCACATGGATATGCGGGTGGTAGAGACCAGCTGTTTGTTTGTGGACAAGGTGCTGTGCTTGTGTTAGGTCTGCTTATTAAATATTAACGTCTAGAGTGTAGGGGTAGGAGGAAAGGAGTTCTACATTTTGGCCTTGTTCTTACAGAGCAATGCAGGGAAACGAGGTGGTAGCAGTCAGATCAGAGTCAGTGGAGAGGCCATCACAGGGCAGGGGCAAATAAGACTTCTCCAGAGGTGAGGGTGACTGCGTGGTAAGAGGAGAATAGGGTGCTCACAGAGGTGAAGTGGGGATGAGCAGTGGCTTCAAGGTCAGCAGGGTTCCACTTTCAGGAATACACGTAGGCACTCTTCCTATTTATTCCTCCTATAACTAAGAACCTTAAACATTATATAGTGTACAAGTAAGACAAATATTGGAAGACTGAAAGGTGGAAGAAAAGGGCTGACTGGTTAGGGGTTAGAATGACATGGTAGCGTGAGCTGCTTGCATGTTATTTTTGTTTTGCTTAATATATTCCAGATTGGGTGCTAGAGGAACAGACAACCCAAAACACCAGTGGCATAGATAAAAAGTCTGTTTTCTTTAGCTAAACAACCAGCAAAGTGACAGCCTTAAAAACCAGAAAAACAATTGCTACTGTACTACAGTGAAATACCACAGACCTGAACTGACCCCACCTTTGCCCATTCCAGCAAAGTCCAGGCTGCCCAGCCCTCTGTGTGAGGAGAAGGTTGGATTTTTAAGAAGGCTCCTTTCCATTTCCTTCCCCTTTTCACTCTCTCCTCTGTCACAGTATCAGTGCAAGTAATGTGGAGAGCCTAGACTTCTCCCCACCCTGGAGATTACAGAGGTGACTGTCCTTACTGGAGGAGTCTGGTGGAGCACTAGGCTCTTCCACCACCCAAGGTAGCAAAGTCCTGTCCTGTGGTGTGATGCACATACACAGAGGCATGCCTTCTCCTAACCCAAGACTTGTAGTGTGGTCTTGATGGGAAGTTGGGGGCCTTATCTCTGCCCAGGAGTAATGAGAAGCCCTTATTTTCTGTCACCAAAGTCCAAGGGACAAACCTGGATTATTGCTTCCATTGGAAGTGATGAGGTATTCTGGCCCCCTACTCTATTAAAGAGGTGTCACAGGAATAAAATTAAAACACAAGGTTTAAGTAAGACCCATAATCTCGTAATACTCCAAATAAAGTTGCAGAAAATTACTTGCCATTACAAGAACTGGGAACTTCTCAAGCTGAATTTAAAAAATCAGTCAGTAGATACCCACATGACAGAAAATTTAGAACTGCGTAGCAAAGATTTTTTAAAGTTTCATAAAAATGGTTTGATGACCAATTATGAATACACTAGAAGCTAAAAAGTAAGATTTTTAGCAAAAAATAAATAAAAAGCCTGAGCAAAAAAGTAGAAAAGAAAAAGAAGCTAGTAAAGACAAAATGCGAGTTTTACAATTAAAAGTTTTTTAAAACTATAAAGAAGCAAAGGCAAATCGTGTTTAATCTACAGGGTAGAAACAGTTTGAATTACGGGAATTTTCAAGTCAGAAATGATGGCAGCAGAAGAATGTTGCATATTCTTCAAATGCTGGAGTAAAAGGAACCATCAACCCACAATCTTATACTCGGCGAAGATAATCAAACATTTTAAGAGAAAGCAAAAATAGGAAAATCTGTCATTAGCAAACATGCCCTAAAACAGTAGCTGAAGTCTGTTCTTTCAACGAAAGGACACAATAAGAGAGTGAATCTTAAAATGGTGCTGTGGTCTTGTTTGTGCCCACCTCCCCCACATGGTTGAACCGTGATCTCCAGTGTAAGGGAACCTTGGCCAAGAGGTGCCATTGGGCACCAGGAAGCAAGCTCTCCTTAGACACCAGGCCTATCAGGCCTTGGTCCCAAATTCAGAACTGTATAAAGTTCTGCCTATGAGCTACCCAGTTTGTGAGTACCATATATTTAATTTTCCTCTTGAATTTCTAAATTATGGTTGACATTTGAAGCAAAAATCGTACCTTTGGCTGATGCAGCTCTAAATTAATGTTAACAAAATATGTAAGGCAATTACACTACAAATGTGGAAGGTAATTACACTACAAATGTGGAAATGTAACAGGAGTAAAGGGAGTCAGTATTCTATACCTCAACTGTGAAGCAGAGCTCAATACAATAATATCATTAGGTTGTAATAAGTTACATATGTATAATATAATAAATATAATACCTACAGCAACTACTAAACATATATGCAGGAAACACTATAGATAAACCAAACTGGAGTTCTAAAAAGCAGTTCAAATAAATTACAGGAATTTAGGAAAAGAAAAC